ATTTCAATAAATACCATCATAATTACACTATCTGTTTTTCAATATTTTACTTTGTAAACACGTTCCGTTATTCTAAGCCAAAAGGAAAATGTAATATAATGCTATTGTGGTAGTAAGTCTGAACAGATGTGCTCTCTGATGTCAATTTGTACCTAGTGGGGGATGTCCCTATCATCAAACCCTAGTTATCCTCCAAGTAAATGAACCACAGTCATTTTAACTCCAATCAAGTATTGAAGGCAAAGGACTCTAAGGCCAAGATGGGCACCCGGAACCATAGGAACCCCTGCCACCCCCAGCCTAGCTTTGAAGGCCATCTGCAAACAAACCATTCAGTCATGTGGAAAGAAGGATCTGTACCTGCCCCGCTCTGCCCTGCCAGACTGCTTTGTGAGGGGAGAGAGAGAAGGTAGTAAGCAAACTGAGAGAAAAGGGGTGCCCTGCCCACTGCTGGCTTCAACACTGTTCACCAACACCCAACTGGACCCCCCAGTAGATTACCCCAAGGGAATGCGTCAGAATTAGGCTAAGACATTTTTCTGCCTGAGGCAAAGAACAAGATTATGGCCAGCTGGCTAGATCAGCACCTGAATCTTTCTTCCACCCTGGTGCGAGAACAGCATCCTCCGCTGTACTTGAGGACATCAGGTTAACTTAGGGAGTGTGGGGCAGGTCTCTGGCATAAAAGCTCTTTCCTCCAACACCTCAATACCATCTCCCAACATCTGTTGTCTGAGGAAGTCCCTTCACTTTGACCAATGATATGGCTGACCCTGGTATGTAACTCTTGACAAGATTCCTACCCTGTTTTAGGCCATAATAATTGAACGCAATGGGGTGAGCTTCTGAATGGTCACAACAATATCATAAGATTAGATGGATTTAAATGTGCCTTGTAAAACAGCCTAAAAGACTAAAAGACCAGTCATAAACATGATTAATCAGACATGAATCCCATCAAACTCAATTGGGTTTGGGATTGCACTTTAAGAGAATCTTCTCCATCCTAGAATCCTCAGGTGTTGTAGACCAGCCTTTACCAAGTGGTGGCCTTCCGAGGCATTTAGACCAGAACTCCCAGAATTCCCATCCAGCAGGGCCACTGACTGGAAATTATGGGTGTTGTAATCCAAATGTGTCTGGAAGGCACAAGGTTGGGGAAGGCTGTTGTAGACTACAACTCCCAGCCTTGCAGACCATTGACTGTGCTGAGGCTGATGGGAGTTGATCCAAAACATCTGGAGGGTACCAGGTTATGGTTGGGTGATCCAAACCATTGTACACCAGCTCCAGTGGTTTCTAGTCACACAATAAACAATGCGGCAGCTGCCTTATGCTTGCTTTCATGTAAACTGTAGCCTACTTCCCAATTAAAGGGAAAAGCTAACTAACCATAGAACTCCAAACTAAATATGTCCCTTTCAAGTCATCCTCAACCTTTGCTGAGTTACTCACAACATAAAAGGCATGGAGTCAGCCGATTCTTTTTTGCCTTGAATAAACAAATGTCTCTATATTGTTGAACAAGCCACATTTTTCATCCCTTTAAGACAGTTCACATGAAAGCTAAATATGAGCTGTGCGAACAGTTGGTTTCAAAAACAAACACACAAACAAAACCCCTTAAAATATAATGACGTGCCTTTTTAAAAAACAAAACCAAATCATTTTAAATGTACCATTTTACAATGATGAAACTGAACATTACATACTTTGGTACTTAAAGTCTCAAGATTATTCATTAATCAAATCAAAGAATTTTTAAAAGAATAATATCGGGCAGTTTTACTGGTTTAGTTGTATTTTTATTGTAAATGTAATCCATTTCCAGGTCTTGTCTATGGAGAATGTGGAATGTACATGATCTAGGCTATATCTTATGCATGTTTCCTGGGAGTAAATCCCATTGAACTCGATGGGATTAATTCTGAGCAGATTCACTGTACCTGTTCCTAATCATGTCTAGTCTGAAGTGAGTCCCCTTGAAATCAGTGGAGTTTACTCAGAATTATGTAGGTACAGGATTTCAGCCTTAATAGTAATATCAATAATGATGAATAATACAGTATAGTAACTGATATTTCCCTAAACTATCCATCAGTATGGAAGACAGTCCCTTGCTGCCATCCATCAGCATAGGTCTGAGACATTTTGCTTCCTGAGGTGGAACATGTAATGCTTCCCTCTGCACACAAGCCAAGGTGCACAGGACCTGGCTGGTGGATTTATTATGGCACTTAAAGCAGAAGAACCCATACACACCTATTCTTGGGAATAAATATGCAGGAAACATAATAAATAAAAAGTATACATTCACTGACTTTTTATGACAACAGCCTCGTTCTGCCTAGTAGTATGCCTGGCTCAGGACCAGGAAAGAGATTACAAGGAAAGAGTTTATCTAAAAGAAAGGAAGACTCTAAAAGCTAAAATTAATCCTTTCTCAACATGTGCCTCCATCTCCCTGTATGGTGAGGTGAAGGGAGTCTGTTGCTACTTTGGAGGTGCCTCCTTCAGCCCTGGGAAGCCCTTGGTGGGGAGGGGAGGGGAGGGGAGCTGAAGGGGTGGCTGCAATTTTAACACCTTGCTTTTATTATCCTCACAGTCGGAACATCAAACCTGAGCCCGGATTTCTCCATTTCTTGTCAGTGGAGGATTGCATTTCAAAAGAATTTGGGACAATATATCCCAGCTCACACCTCAATTCAAGTACTACCATGACCTGTCAATGAGCCTCTTTGCTGCTCAGCAGATGGCATCCTGGGGAAGCCCTGTATTCTCATCTGTGGTGGGCAGGACAAGCCCCCCACCATGCTGGGGAAAAAAGGAAAGGAAAGGAAAGGAAAGCAGTTCTCCAAGCTCTGTGTCTTCCCTGCAAAGTGAACCAAAGCAAAACATGTCCTATTATAGAGAGGAGTTAAAGAAGCAGGTATAGTACACATGTTCTTTAAAAGAAAGAAAGAAAGAAAGAAAGAAAGAAAGAAAGAAAGAAAGAAA